AGCCACCGCGGGCACCGCGGACGACCTGGGCGACTTGCAGCCCCAGCTCGCTGCTGAGAACCAGCGCCTGGTCCATTCCGAGTGCGCCGTGTCATCCCCGCCGTCGACGCGGGCCTGAAGCCCCTCAGCAGGCGTGCCGAGCAGCTCGTCGCGCTCGTCTCCCGGTCGGGGGCATGGAAACGCTGGGCTCGGCCCTGCAGAGTCGGTGCCCCAGCTGCGATGTCCAGGAGAACGGCCCCGCCTGCTGCAGCGCGCGCGCGGCGGAGGTGGAGGCCCTGCACGCGACGTTGCTGGACATGCTGCGGCGCGCCACGGGCCCGCGCACCTGCCATGCTGCGCACGCGCTGCTGGCGAGGAACGCCGCAAGAAAGCTGGATTATGACATGCGTGCGTGCCTCCCGCGGGCGCTGGATTCAGCCTTGCGGCGCGCTTCGGCGGCAGCGCGCGAGTTCATGGGGGCCTTTGCTGTGCAGCCTCTCAGCCCTGACCACGCCGCCGTCGCCAGCGTGCTCACCTTCCCCGGCGGCCTGGGCGCTCGGCCAGCAGATCTCCAGCTCGCGCGGGTGGCGTTCTGGGCGTGCTACGTCTCGGTCGAGGCCGAAGCGATTGCCTTGGCCGCTCGCGTCGGCCGCCCAGTCGTCGCCCACCATCCGGGCGCGACCTCGGCTGCTTGGGTTTGTCGCGAGCTGGTCGTCGCATCCAGTTGCTCCCAGGATGCAATGAGTTCACGGTGGAGCCATCGCTCGAGTATGAGGCTGGCCCCTGGGCGGCCGACCTCCCGACCCAGACGGTTTTCGACTTCCGCGCCGAGGCCGACGACGTTCCCAGGAGGCCACGTGCCGCTCCTGCAGGCGAGACAGGACTGATGACGAGGGCGCGTGGGCTTGCCGGCGACGTCTCGCCGCCCGGGCGCACCGCGGCCTCGCTGCCCTGGCGGCCACCCGCCTCTGGGCCCGCTTGCCCGCGGCGCGCCAGGCCCGGCTGCTGTCGAGCGGAGGTCCTGGCGCCGGCAGTTTTTGGAATGGTTTCACGCCGGAGGTTGGGCTCGCGCTTCATGGCGCCTCCTGTGTGGTCGTGCTCCGGCGCCGTCTCCTGCTGGACTTGCTGGGGGCCCCGGCCACGCGCGCCTTCGAGCACTCCTGCAATGCAGGCGGCGGCGGCGGCGGGGGGCGCCCGGCCCTCGGACGTCGCGGGTCTCAACGCGCTCCATTGCCCGGCCGGGCCGCATTGCATCCGGCTGCACAATGAGATCGTCCGTGCTTTGGCGGATCGGATCTCCGCCCGCGACGGGCGCGCTGACTTGGAGCGCTGCGTCCAGAGCTTGACTGTGACGCCCGCGGCGGGATTGCCGAGGCGCGGTTCGACCTCGTCGTGAGTTGGCCAGGCCTGCCAACGCTGACCTGAGTGGACGTCGCCGTTCGTTCGCCTTGAGAGTCGGGCCCGGCAGTCCGCGCAGCGGGCCGCGCGGCCGTGATGTCGGTAATTCTGGCGACGCGGTCGTGGCCTTCGCGGTCGAGACCGAAGGTCGGCGCGGCCCCGCCGCGCAGCGTTTCGCGGCGGAGGAGACCACCGCTGCGCGGCGCACCGCGGTCCTCCCGGGCGGGCCGCTCGGCCGCCTCGGCACGGATCTCGCGCGGCAGGTGTTGGCCAAGGTGGCAGGCTGTCCTGAGCAGCCTCCCGTTTGCTTTGTGATACCAGCTGCTGCCTCAGGTCGTACGTCGCGCTTGCAGGGGACCGGCTCATCATCATCATCATCATCATCATCATCATCATCATCATCATCATCATCATCATCATCATCATCATCAACATCATCAGCATCTTCACCATTATCACCCTCAACCTCATCCGCATCACCACCATAAACATAGTCATCATCACCAACAATATCATCAGCAGCATCAGCATCACCACCACCTTGTTACCATTATTTTGCATCATTGCCATCATCAGCATAATCATCGTCAGCACCATCATCGTTATCATCGTCATCGCTATCTTCCGTACCACCACTATCACTGTCAATACCATCATCCAAACTTTTTACCGAAACCATATCCATCTTGATCAGCATCTTCAGCATCATATTATTCCTCATCTTCACCACCACCGTCATCATCACCAACACCATCATCATCATACTCAGCATCATCACTCCCATCATCGTCCACCTCATCCCCGCCTCCTCCATTTCCGTTCGTTTTCCGCCTCCTCTCTTTCACGCCAGGTTTTGGTCTTCGACTTGTCCCAAGCCCCAAGAGCCTCTCAAGCGGCCCGCACAGCACGAGATCCGCGTACGGGCCGAGGCCCAGACGTGCTCGCGCTGCGAGAAAAATGGTACACCGGGAGGTGTTTGGCCATTCTCGGCCTCCGGTGTCTTTCGGCGGGACCTGGCATCGTCGAAACACGACTCGAGATGAGAGACCTGCCGCGGGGAAAGGCTCGGGAGTTCCGGAGACCCCGCAGTCAGAAAGCCAGGACGCCGCATGTCTGGGCAGAGCCTGGCCGAGCAGGAGCCCACGGCCGAAGAGGCGCGGGCCGACAGAGGGCACCGCGGCGGAGCCCGAGGGGTGGGGGGGGGCAAGAAGCGCGCGCCCGCCAGAGCAGGAGGCCGAGCACGCGGCGGCCAGCGGCCAAGGCGGCACGTGGCCAGGATGGGGAGAGGGAGGAGGGGGAGAGAGAGAGAGGGAGGGAGGGATATGGATTTATATATATATATACACGTATATATAAGAGAAAGAAAGAAAGAAAGAGAGAGAGAGAGAGAGAACAACAAAAACAAAAACACCAAACAAAATGACGGCAGGGGCCGAAAGGGCTTGCGAGGGCAGAGTGGGCACGGGGTTCCGGCCGAAAGAGCAAGGGGCCCAAAGAGCAATTCGGGGACTGAACGGCACGGGTGCCGGAACACAACGAGGCCGAGTCGCATCTTTTGCCGGGGGACGGGAGGAGGAAGAGGAGGAGGAGGAGGAGGAGGAACAAAAGTGAGGAGGACAAGAACGACCCCAAAACGCATCAACGATGCTGACACACACACACACACACCCTCGTCCCGAGTCCCCCCCTCATGCGTCTTTCAAGCCTATCTTTTAAATCTAAGAAGCGTCCCCTGGAAAGACCGGCGGTCGGTGGGTATGCCGACGGTGCGCCATTCAGGCGAGAGCCCCGTGTTGACAAGCATTTGCTTCGTATCCTTTTCGGACGGCTCCTGACGCTAGCCCCTCTCGATTCCGAGGCTACCAGATACCGCTTACACTATACTGTCCGCAGGGCTACACAGGCCCTTGTAGACCACTCTCGAGCGCCCTTCTAGGCTCAGTCGGACGTTTCGTGATCAACACTCAAGGTACGAGCGATTTGCGTCGCATCCTTCTAGCGAAGAGTGTGGAATGCGATGAGGTATGATCATACGGTGCAGCGAGGTGTCCAGCGAGGTCCCCGTTTCGACAAACGACCCCCCCCTATGTGCCGCCCGCTGCACACTTGTTCACAGACCTGGTGAGGAACGGCAGGGACGTCTCGAGCAACGGCCCCATTTTGAAAGGACGCTCTCCTCCATCCGTGCGATTGTCACCCTATGTTGAAGTGCTTCCTTAGCCAGTTTCAGAAGTCTCAAACGGATGCCCCATGTTTACCAAGAGCCGCCTGCCACCCTTGAAACTGCTGCATACGTTCAGGACGGGTGTGCGCGGCGCTGAAGCGAGAATCCCATTTGGGGGGAATGTTCACGTGCCTTCCGTAGCCGATGTTGTTTAAGACGAATGCGCGTGGTGCTCAGGCGAAAGCTCCGTTTTGAAAAGAACCGCCCACCATCTTCGATGCTGATGCGAATGTTCAAGACTAGTTTGCGCAGCGAAAAGGCGAGAGCTCAGTCTTGAAAACGACCTGAAACCCATCCTTTTACGTAACTGTCTCAAGCTTGAAAGACGAGTGTGCGCGGAGCTACGGCGAGAGTTCCACGTTCCCCTTCCATCCTTGAAGCTGCTGCGAATTTCAAGCTTCAGAACGATTCGTGGTGAGGGAATATCAGGCGAAATGCCTGGCCAGCCCTACCAACACGCCTGGGGGTGCGACAGGGAGAGTTATTTATATGAAAACGGAATAGAAGAATGAGAAGATGAGGTGGAGGAGGAGGAGGAGGAGGAGGAGGAGGAGGAGTCAATCCCCAAGAAACGAAGGCCACCAGTTCTGAGCTCGACGGAGGAGGAGGAGGAGGAGGAGGAGGAGGAGGAGGAGGAGGAGGAGGAGGAACACCAGGAGGGACGAGCAGGACAAGGACGAGGCGGGGGGAAGCTGAGGAGGACGAGGGAGGAGGAGATTGAGGAGGAGGAGGAGGAGGAGGAGGAGGAGAAAGAGGAGGAGGAGGAGGAGGAGGAGGAGGAGGAGGAGGGAGGACGAGTTTCGCTTACTCCGACCTGAGGGGCTGCGGGGCTTCGATTCGGAGGGGCCTTGAGGTGCAGGGTTGCCTCCGCGGCGCTTTGCCCACTTGCCGCAACCAGCCATGGCCAAACGCACGCCACGGCACTGGCTGCACGGCATGGTCTCACATCGCGGCGCTGATGGCGTGGCAGGGCACGGAGTGGCATCACTGCGCATCACAGCACGGCACGGCACCGACGGGGGCACGGTACGGCACAGTGGCGCGGTACAGCACGGCACAATCAGGATACCAGACCAGGCATGCCCACGCCAGATCCGCTGGGCGCGGCACAGGACGGTGCGTGACACAGCATCGCATTGCACCAGCGACTTGCCAGATCGCGCTTCGTCTCCGTCATGCACGGCGCCGCGACACGGTGGCAGCGGCCTGCCCGATCACGCTCGGGTTGGCATACGTGCCCCGAGGTGCGGTGCCCGGCATGACTCCGCAGCCCTTTCGTCTCGAGGCTCGCCAGCCAGCCCTCGCCCGCCAGCTCTGAACGCCATGCGGTTTGACCACGGGCCGCCGTCTGCGGCCAGAGTCCTCTAGCTCAGCTCCACATGGCTTCTGAAGGCGGAAGATGTTTTCCACAGTAGACAAGAAGAGCTGGCCGCCAAGGCTGCCGAGGGAGGCGTACACGAACGCGAGGAACCAGTACACTCAGCTCACGCAGGACGTCTTCGAGCATGAATTCCCTGGCGGGAAGAGCTGGTACAAGACCGCCCACCAGCGAAACCATACCGACATTGATCTGAGCGGCGAGCAGTGGTGTCTGGACACCCTAGAGGGCGAGGAGCTGGGCATCTTGCACCCGGGCCTGCGGAGGGACCTCATGCAGAGCCTGAACGTCTCAAACAACAGGCTCACCAGCATCGACTGCCTGAACGTGCGGGAGAATCGGCACTTCGCGTTCCGGAATCTGACGCGGCTCAATGCAGCCAGGAACATGCTGACCGACGTTCGGTTGTTGCTGGATACCTTGACCCAGTTGAATCTCGCGCACAACGAGCTGCGAAATATTCCAAATCTGGGCAACCTGGTGAACCTACAGAGGCTCGTGTTGTCCCACAATCGCATCGACGGGCCACTCCGGAGCGACGAGGGAGGTGGCACGGGTCTCCAGGGGCTGTTGAAGCTCTTCTCGCTGGACCTCTCTCACAACGAGTTCTCCTGGCGGCCCTCCTCGTTCAAGACTCAGCTGGATGTCCTCAAGTCCATGCCGTCGCTCACGGACTTGAATCTGGAACCCAATCCGTTTGCATTGCGCTTCAAGGAGTACCAGTTCATCGCGGTGGCTCAGCTCGAAGGCCTGGAGATGATCGACGGCAAAGTGCTGGACCGCTACGTGAAGGCCGAGATTCGAAAGAGGGCCAACCAGATGGATGGGCCCATCGACTTCGGCATCTTCGACACAATGGTGAAAGACCGCGATGCAGAGGTCTTGGCGACGCACGGCGGCGAGCGAGAGGTTGTGCAAGTCCCCCAACTTAGCGAGCTGATCAATGTGCTCGAGATGGCCATGGACATGCCGGACCAGGTCGTCATGCACATCGAGGAGTTCGACAAGAAGGTGGCGAGCATGTGGAATTCACACATTTGGGACCGACAGCGGCTGATGCCCCAGCGCGACCTCGGGGCACACGGGGCCAGCTCGGAGCGTATGTGCTTTGCGTACTTCCGCGGGAACTGCAACAACCCGCACTGCATACATGGCCACGGCAACATCGAAGAGTGGCAAGAGGATGTCGCGAAGTTTGGGGACAAGTTGGGGCAGGTGCTGCAGCGGTTCGACAGCGTGCAGAAGATGCTTGTCATGTGCCTCGTGCGCATGCTGTCCTGCGGGAACTCCTTGCTGGCAAACAGGTGCGCCGAGCTGCTGGCAGACTGGGTGGAAGCCGTGTCCCCCGATCTGCACGACAGGGTCGGGGAGATGTCGGAGGCGCTCTTCGGCGACCTGCGCGAGCGGCTGCTGGCGGGCGTGCAGAGTGTCAACGACAGGCCTGAGCTGTGCCTCGAGGTGGGGAAGGAAGTCCAGACGAAGAGCGAGAAGGAAAGACTAGACTGGATGAGAGAGAACCAGGAGAGATGGCCGATCGACGCCAATGCCGAGTCGGCTTGCATCTTGGAGTCCCTCGGGAGATTCGTCATGGCAACCTCCCACGTGAAGTCGTATTCGCCTTTCCGTTCGCAGGTTCTGCGGCCGCTCTTGGTGGCACTTTGCAGGGACTCGCACGAGGATCTCGGACGGGAAAAGCCCAAAGGGACGTGGAGCGATTACGCTGGATTTGCCACCATGCTTGACGACAGCGTTGACAGAATGGTCTGCGCCACGACCGCGGTCCAGGCATGCAAGGAAAGGTGCATCAAGCATGGCTGGGGGGGATTCGTGACGTGCGAGCTCGACGACCAGCAGGGGATGATGTCCGTCCACTTCAAGGACATGTCGCCTATCAGCCTGTCTGGCCTGAGGAAGAGGATGAGGAACGAAGAGCATGCTCGGACTGTGCTCTGGACCAGGCCAGTGAAGGAAGACCGTCTGCTGAACTCGCTGGAGCCTTCTAATATCGGATCCGATGCCTGGCGCGGTTGGCTGAGCGGGCTCGCGATCCTCGTGGCGGCCACCTTTCACAGTCACAGTGCCGCACACTGCGTCGAGCTCTACAAGCTCCACGAGAGAGTGGTTGAACTGGAGGCCACATGTCCGGTGTTCGAGGACAAGTTCGTGGAGGACAATGTGGAAGCGAGGTTGGCCTTCACCCAGCTCATGCAGCTCGCCGTGAACCTTACCCGCGCACATGGGGACAAAGGCCTGATCGCAAAGGTGTTCTTCAAGACCAAAAGGCTTCACAGGAACTGTTGGAAGAGGGCCCAGCGGTACTGGGAGTGGACCCCTCCAGCGCACCGAGGCGGACACGCGGACAAGTATGACGAGAGGCCTTTGGTACTGTCTTCGCTATTCTCCGTCGTCTGTTGTATGGGTGAATCGGGCGACGATGTTGCGTTTGAGAGCACCGAGAACCGGCAGCGAGAGGTCCAAGTAAAAGAGGTCTCTGATGATGTGATGGCTGACCTGAAAGCAAGCGGGATGGATTTATTCTACCTGATGGTGGACGTGTCTGTGCAACCGAGACCTGATCCTTTGTTGTTAGCGTCTTCTTTGGAGCTGATCTTTACGTTCCTCAACAGCGATGTGACCATGAACTTCGTTGTGCAGCGGACAATGGGTACTATGATGCACGGGAAACTTCTGCTACCCTATGTTAGAGGCCGTAAGAACAAGGACGAGTTTAACATCAAGTATGCAGAGCTTTGGAGACAGTGCGAACTCTTGTATCCTCTGGACGTCTCTGTCAAGGAACGCATGCCAGAGCTGGTAGCCACAGGGAGGAATGATCAGCATAAGTGGTTAGAAAAGGTTCCAGAGCTGGCGCGGCTGACAAACCCTCTCATGCACCGCGTCCTCATCAACATTGTGAGGCTGTTTGATCTTTTCAGCCGTGCGTGGCAGAAGGACGGCAGTGGTTCGCTACGCAAAGCAAACGACGACCTAGACGAAGCAGGGCGCGAGGACGCGGGACCAAACAGACAAGCCTTTCATTGAGTTGTCCCTCAGACCTTGCCGACGAACCCCCTTTTTCCTTCCCCCCGTCGCATCGCGACAAGAAGCACGAAGGACTGCTTCGCGGATCATCTTCGGTTGTTCCTGGAGGCCCCCGAAGGGCCCCCGCGAACGTCAAACAGCTGCTCAAGCCTGGAGGTACGCGTGGTCGCTTTTGTCATTCGTTGTTCTGCCGATCGGCGCGGGCCCTCCTTCCCCCCCCCCTCCCCCCCCCTTGGAGTAGATCTTGGCTGCTTTTGGTGCCTGTTCCGAGCAGGTGGAGCCTCCCCCATCATGGACGCACTGCTGCAAGCGGTCGCACTGAGCAGAGGTCCAGAGCCAGACCCCCCCCCTACTCCCCTCCATCCCTCCCTCCCAATATCGAAACGCCGAGTTAAAAAAACGCTCACCGCCGTCCCGAACGAGCGTTCCTCGCCGGCGGAGCTCAGACAGAGGGCTGGCTGGCAGGCTCTCGGTCAGCCCACCGGCTACGGAGAGGGCTCTCGAGAGCTCCAGGAGGCTCCGAGTCCCACCAGGTGATCGACGTGTCCAGTGAATAGTGCACATGTCATGTGCTTGAAGGTCAGGGCTCCTGATGATGATCAGACGTTCCCCAACCAGTGGGTGCACTTCGGGTCTCTCATATCTTTTCCAAGTGACTGGACCTGCCCGTCGGTTTGGCTGGAATGTGGTCGCCATTGCCGCCCCGTCGCCGCCTCGTCGCCGCCCGTCGCTCTGGCGGCTGCGTGGTCGCTGTCGCCGCCCCGTCGCCGCGTGGGCCTGCGTTGCTGTGCGCTGCTTCTCATTACGTTTCATCGCGCTACTTTGCTTTGCTCTGCACTGGTTTACATTGGTGTACATTGCTTCGCCTTGCTTGACATTGCCTTGCGTTGCATTCCTTTGTAATGCTTGGCATTGCTTTGCGCTGCGCACTCGCCCCTATCACCACATAGAGTGCATCACGCAGTGTGCCAGAAACTAGTGTTTGGGGTCCACCCTGGCTAATATTTGTCAGATGAGTGCATACAATTATTCACGCGGGGCGCGAGGACATGCTCATTGGCCCGTCCACTGGCCTCGTGACCTGTCCTGATTACGATGTCAAGCTCCAGTGTCTCCGATGTATCAGGAACATCGTGGTCAAGTCAGTCGAGCAGTTCCAATTAAATGAGATGGGCACGCTCATGCGCTACCTGACCGCCGAAGCCATGGGCGTGGGGCAACAGGAGAACTTCTTGATGCTGGTGCTGGAGATTATTATCAGGCTCGTCGAGGACACCTCCAGCACAGGCCAGCTGTTCCGCGATCGCTTCGCCAAGAACGCCATACGCGAGTCTTTCGAGATGCTGCAGGTGAACGCCCGGCGCGACGTGTCGGGCAGCCCCGACGAGGAGGAGTCGAAGCTCAAGCTGAGCCTCACGATCTGCGGCCTCCTGCAGGCCTGCTCCGTCCGCCCGGGAGTCGCGATCCGCAGGTTCATGCGCCGCGGCGACCTCCTCCAGGCTCGGGGGCTCGCAGAGGGAAGATCATCCCCAGGTGGCGCTGGGGAACGGGCCCGGCTGGATGCTTCGTTTCAACGCGCCTCTTTCTTCCAGGGTCCGTTCGGAGCGATCTTCCTGCCAACCCTGCCTTTGCCCCAGTGGCACAGGCCGCAGGCGCCCGACGCCCATTTTGGCACCGTCGTGCTGTACGCAGGTGGCCCAGATGCGAGTGCCAGGAGGAGGAGGAGGAGGAGGAGGAGGAGGAGGAGGCTCGCCCCCTTTTGTGCCCCCCCGACAGGCGCTGATCGACACCGTCAAGATCGAGGACGCTGGCGACCGGCCCTCCTATCGCCAGAGGCTCCTGCGCACCTGGACCGGCAGGCAGGTACCAGACGTGCTGCTGCCCCTGGCCACGCACGACCACCTCGACAAGTGGCGCGTGGGGAGGTATTTGATTTACACGCGCACTGCCGACATACTGGCGGGCAAGAGAGATTATCGCGTCGGGCGGAGGAAGGCGCGGCGAGTGGCCGAAGTGGAGACCACCAACGAGCGCTACGACTGGCCTTCCTTGTTCTCGCTGCGGGGGCAGGTTCTGGCAGGACTGGCAAGCGACCCTGTAGAGGACGAGGACTGGACAAAGCAGCAGAAAGCTTTTGTTGGTGCGAACGGTTGTCAGAAGCTCGTAACCACGATGGAGGCATTTTGCGGTGGAGTTGGCTATAAAGCTCGGTTCAGCCATGCTAGCGAAGTGGTGGGCAACATGATTGGAGATGCAAGCTCTGATATTGACAAATGGTGGGGTATCGAAGACGCCTACGGCGAATCACCGCCGACCACTGCATTTTGGGAACGCCCATGCGGTCTGGCCAAGCTAATGCACTGTGTTCCCCCAGCCGTTTTGGAACCCCATTGGAGAACACGTGGGAGAGGAAGAGAAGGGAAGAAGAGAAGGAGAAGGAGGCGGAGGAAAAGGAGGAGGAAGAGGAAAAAGAAGAGGCCTCTTGAGGCCCTCTTGGGCCTCCTGGGGGCTTCCTGGGAGGCCTGCGAGGGGCCTTGTGGGGGCCTCTTGAGGCCTCTTAGGGGGCCTCTTGCGGGCCTCTGGGGGCCCCTGAGGGGCTTGTTGGCCCTCGGAGGCCGTCTTGGGGCCCTTTCTGGGTAGTCGTGGGCTTCTCGTTGGGCGCTTGAGGGCCGCCTTGGGGGCGTCTTGGGCCGTCTTAAGGCCCTCGTGGGCCATCGTCCTGCGGGCCTCTTGGAAGCCTGTGGGGTCGTCTTGGGGCGATCTTGGGGGCACATACGGCCGTGGTGGAGCGTCGGAAGTCCGAAAAGGCGAGAATGCTAAAGTCATTGGAACACTTGAGGGGCACTGTTGATTTCGGCCTCTTGGATGTCTTCTTGCAGGCCTCTTTGGGGCCTCTCGTGTCGTCTTGGGCCATCGTGGGCCCATCTTGAGCCGTCACGGATGCATCTTGGGCCGTCTTGGAGACCTCGTGGGGACTTCTTCTGGGAGTCGGATCCATCTTGTGGCCGTCTGTGGTCCATCTTGCGAGGGAAGACCAATGGAGGATACAGTTTACGCAGCTTGCTGGAGGCCCCTGGCATCTGGCACGCCGTGCGTCCTTGTGTCAAGCCATATGGGGTGGCAGATCGAAGACGCTTGCTGCGAGTCACCGCCGTCGTATGCCTTTTTGGAAGTGCCTCGGTGGCCAATGGGCGAGAGCTTTGTTAAGCTATCGGGAGATATACATATACATATATATATATATATATATATTCCCCCAGCCGCTATGGAAGTTCTTATGGAACACTCGGGGGAGGATGGGGGGAGGATCAGGAGAGGGAGGAGGAGGACGAGGAGGAGGAGGAAGACTAGTGGAAATCCAAGACTCACCAACGATGTTGGAATACACCCTCCCTCTACGCTCCCTTTTCATAGGCCCCTACAAGGGTTCATTTCCACTGAGGGAGTTGCCCCGTTCGGGGAGAACCGTGTGAAGATCCTGAAGCGCGCCCGAAGACCATTCTCAGAACATCAACTCCACGAGTCAACCTGGCTTTTGCGTTTTGGCGCGCTTGAAGTGTGCCAGAACACCATTCCGGGGATTCCAACACCGCGAACCAACGTAATTGTTGCGCCCTGAAAATCCTGAATCTCTGCGAAAAGCCATTCCTCGTACGTTAACCCTGCGAATCAGTGAAGCTCTTGCGAATGTTCAAAAAAGAGTGTGCGCTGCGCTAATGCGAGAGCCGCATATTGAAAATGGCCCGCCCCCGGTCCGTGAAACTCTTGCAACTGTTTGAAACGACTGTGCGCGGCGCTAAGGCGATAGCCACATATTGAATCTGACCCGCCCTCAGTCAGCGAAGTTCTTGCAATTGTCTCAAACGAATGTGCGCGGCGCTAACGCGTGAGCCACATTTTGAAAATGACCCGCCCTCAATCCGTGAAATGCTGGCAATCTTTTGAAACGAGTGTGCGCGGCGCTATGGCGAGGGCCACGTTTCAAAAACCACCCGCCCTCAATCCGTGAAACTTCTGTATCTGTTTGAACGAACGCGCGCGGCGCTAAAGCGAGAGCAACATTTTGAGAGTCAGCCGCCCTCCATCTGTGAATCGCTTGTCAGTTTTCAAGCTTCAGGCTCATAACTGGTAAGGAAGTCTCAGGCGAAACGCTTGGCCCGCCCTTCCGACTGGCCTCGGGGTGCGACAGGGGGGAGCTGTTCATTCCCCAATCAGAGCTTGCCTCTGTAGGGGTCCTAGCGGATCCATTCCCCAATCAGAGCTTGCCTCTGCAGGGGTCCTTGCGGATTCACATGGCTAGGCTAGCTGTGGCGCTGATTTCGGCGGCACGCCTGGGTGCCCGGGTGCCCAGGTGCCCGGGTGCCCGGGTGCCCTATAGCCTTATAGCCCTACCTATATCACCACCCACCAAACCACCCCAACCCAACCCGAAGGTTCAGATTTACCCTCGATTTCTAGTGGGGGGGGGTCGGGAAACCTCGAAAAAACACGCGTGGAACCCTTACCCCCCCCAACCCGAAAATCGGGTCTTCGGGTTGGGTTGGGGTGGTCTGGTAGGTAGTCATATACGACCACCCTTCGGGTGATAAGGAGGTGGTGGGGGGGGGAGGGGGGGGAAGAGCAACATGTGACTCAATCGATCTCACTATCGATCTCTCTCATCAAGACACTACGGGACACCACGGGACACCACGGGAGACTTGTCGATCTCACTATCGCTCTCACTACACGGGCCACCACGGGACACCACGGGACACCTCGGGACACCTCTCGATCTCACTATCGGTCTCACTATCGATCTCACCATCGATCTCACTCAACGGGACACCACGGGACACCTCGGGACACTACATCGATCTCACTGTCGATCTCTCTCAACGGGACACCACGGGACACGACGGGACACCACGGGACACCTGTCGATCTCATTATCGATCTCACTATCGATTTCACTTTTTGGGACACCAGGGGACACCACGGGACACCTTGGGGCACCACATCGATCTTACTATCGATCTCAATATGGTTCTCATTATCGATGTCACTATCGATCTTACTCAACGGGACACCACGGGACACCAGCGGGACACCGGCGGGACACCGCGCGGCATTGGCTGCCGGAGGAGAATCATTTGGTCTGGCCGCGGTCCAGCCACAGGAGGATTTCGAGACACCAGCGGGACACCGGCGGGACACCGCGCGGCACCGGCCGCCAGAGGAGTTACATTTGGTCCGGCCGCGGCCCAGCTACAGGAGGATTTCCTTTCGCCCGCCCACGCAGCTTCGCCTCGCCCGCACGCACGCACGGCACGCACGACATGAGCCCGACACCGAAATCGATTTCCCGGTAGGGGGGGTCTCCGTTTCACGTCGGACTCACCCCCCAACCTCCGATAGCCTTGTAGCCTTATAGCCCTATAGCCCTAAAGCCCTATAGCCCTATAGCCCTATAGCCCTATAGCCCTGCCACTGGGGCCTTCGGCGGAGTATCCTACGGGGCCACGAAACGTGTGAGGGGTGCGCCGACATGGGGGTGGAATTGCATGCGGACCCTGCCACTGGGGCCTTCCGCGGAGCACCCTATGGGGCTACGAAACATGCGCGGGGTGCACCGAAATCGTAGTGGAACTGCATGCGGACCCTGCCACTGGGGCCTTGAGTGGAGCACCCTATGTGGCCACGAAACGTGTGAGGGGTGCGCCGACATAGGGGTGGAACGCATGCGGACCCTGCCACTGGGGCCTTGGGTGGAGATGGGTGGAGCACCCTATGAGGCCACGAAACGTATGAGGGGTGCGCCGAGTTGGAGGGGTGGAACTGCATGCGGACCCTGCCACTGGGGCCTTCGGCATCTTGGGCCGTATCGGAGACATCTTGGGGCCACCTTGACCCCTTTGGCATGCACATTGGGTAGCAGATCGACGACGCCGACGGCGAATCACCGCCGCCCCCTGCCTTTTTGGAAGTGCCTATGTGACCGAACGTTGTGGCCAGAGCACAGCCAAGTGATCTGATCATGTGCTCCCACAGCCGTTGTGGAAAAGCGTCAGTGAGAAAGGATACGAGGATGAGAGATCTCTTCTGGCTTTCTTGGAGGCTCTCTCGGAGGTCTCTTGGGGGCCTCTCGGGCCGTCTTGGGCATCTTGGGGCTATCTTGAGCCATCTTGAGTGCATGTTGGACCGTCTTGGAGACAGCTTGACAGCTTGGGGCCATCTGAGGCTCTCTTGCGGCCATCTCAGACTTCTTGGGGGCATCTTGGAGGGCCACTTCAACCATCTTGGTCGTCTTGGAAAGGGAGAACTGATGACCTGGGATGTTTGCAGGTCCTTACAGTAGAAACCCATGACAAGAAGCACCCTGCTTGCCTCCAGGGTGCCCTGGATTTTTTGGGTTTCGACGGTTTTGCGATGGAGAGCGCGACGTTCCCGCGTCAAAAATCAATATGAATGGACTTCCTCGGGTCTCAGGGTTGGGTTTCTTGTGGAAGGTTCCTTGTGGACTAGCCTCCGCTGTAAGGGCGCCTTGGAGGCCATATTAGAGGCGCCAGGAGCGGAAAGACCGACGACCTGCAAAAGGTTATGGGTCCGCACGTGGTGGGAAGACTGATGACCGGGGCAGTTTGCGGGTCCCTCTGGGTGGTCGGCACATTAACTGGGGGGCTTGTTGGGGGCTTCGGGCTTCTTGGGGGCCTCTTGGGGGCTTTTGGGGGCGTCTCTGGGGGGGGCCTCGTGGGCCTCTGGGACCATTCTAGGGCGGAAGGCTCGACACGTCCGTTCGATTTCCCCTCTTGGGGACCTCTTGGGGCCCTGTTGGGGGCCTCTTGGGGCGCCTCGGGGCCCTCTCGGGCGCCTCTGGGGCAGCCCTGGGGCTCCATTGTGGGCTTCTTGAGTCATCTTAGAGCGTTGGACGCTGAAAAAGGCGAGAAGGCCCAAATCGCTCAAGAGCCGAACGACAATCCCTGGCTTTGCCTCTTAATGCCCTCTTCGGGGTCCTCTTGGAGCGCTCTTGGGGCCTTTTGGGCCGTCTTGGGGCCATATTGAGCGCCTTGGAGTGCTGTTGGGTCGTCCTGGAGGCCTCTTGGGACTCTTGGTCGCTGCTGGGAGCTCCTGGAAGTTTTCAGGACCTCGCAGGATCTCTCGTAAGCTCCCCGAACCAGCTGGAAAATCGGAGGTCCGGGCTTTTTATAGCCATTCACCCCTTCTGCCTCTCAGGGATGCAGGGCTGCATGAGCCTCGGGCACTCCACTACGTGCTGAAGGCACGGTGGCGGATCTTTCATGAAGTGAAGGACTCAGACAGGGAAATAGAGAAGAGCGAGGCGGCTGCCGTCTCGCAGCTCGAGATGGACATCGCGACGTTGTTAACAGGTATCAACGAGCGCGTCATGAGAATATTCGGTTACAATTTGCGTATGGTAGATGATCATACCAGGACAGACACAATCGCTGAGATGTCCCACATCTTCGCCAGAGAACTACAGAACAACAAGACTACAGCCAAGGAGCATCGTGACAGGGACCCTACCAAGTTTGAGGAGCTCAGGCAGCAAGCCGACAAGCTTCTGGTCAATGGCAAGCTCCAGGACACCGAGAAGATTGGCGACGAGGACCTCGCCAACACTAAGATTCGGCAGCCGAGGAACGATCTGAGATGGATCGTAGACTGCGCCGACAAGGCCCACAGGGCCTTGAAGAAGCAGGTGGTCGCACAGACGGAAGCCTTCAAGGATAAGGATACCGAGAAGTGGGCACAGTCTATCCTGGATGCGAGCACTGGCAGCAGTGGCAGCAAAGTCAAGAGAGGGTTGGCCAAGATATTCAGGGACAACCATGCCGAGGTAATGGATGTCGTTATCCCAAGAGAAGAGCTGGTGAAGACCAGGTCGTACAAGTACCGAGGCGATTGGTCACGTCTGCGGAACTTGTCGCGTTTGGTCATCGAATACCCGAGTGCGGGCGATCTTTTGAAATGCTTGCAAGATATCGAGAACTCTACGTTGAGCGTGAAGAAGATCCGGAATCGGTTCAAGAATCCAACCAGCCTCGGACAGCGCTACGTTTTGGTGTACGCCGAAGTGAGATGGGAGGGCTGCGATGATGGCTATTTGTGCGAGCTGAAGATGGTGCTGAAAGACGGCACGGAGAACAACGAGTCCAGGCTCAACACGATGAAAGGGAATTTGGAGAAAATTCTTGGGAGCAAGTGCCAGGTCGCTACCTCCAAAACAGAAGCCGTGGCGGATTACCTGATCTACGTGTTGTCGAGCCGCTCCGTTCGACAAGGTGATGCCGTCAGGCTGATGTCGACGGGCGCCGAGGGGCGTTACGTGGAGGTCTCTGGGGCCGAGGTGCTTGCACAGGAGGCCTGCCAGAAGAGGGAGAATCTGCTGACCCTCGAGAGGGTCAAGGGCCTCGGAGTGATCGAGTCCGGCGACGTCGTCTCGATCAAGTCGCTGAGAACGGAGAGGTACCTGGACGTCGCGGGGAACTGGGTCGTGCGCTGCCGGAGCTCGAAGAAGAAACCTGTGTGTAAACGTAAACTCTCGGAGCCCCGCGCGGATTTCTCGGATCGGCGCTGGGACCCCCTGGCGGCGCCTCCGGCGCCGCTCCTGGAGCGCTCCGCGCGCCAGGGAAGGCGGCCCAGCGCCGATCCAAGAAATCCACGCGGACCTCTGGGAAATTATGTTTACGCCGGTGTCTGTCCGCTGGCGACCTGTATGCACCGCACCGCGTTGGCGTCTCCCGAGGCGTCGTCGATTTTCGACCCATGAATGGCACGGTGCACAGCTCTCTTCGACCCTCAGGCCCGAAAAACTGTGCACCGTACCTCGGTGTAGCGAGGCCTGAAAGGAGGCCAAGCATGGTGCGGTGCATGTGCGCCGTTCTGCGTAGTACTGTGCTCCCCTAGGAACACCAATCCGGACGTCCAGGAGCAGGGCCGCACGCGCTTCGTGGTGGAGGTCGAGGGCAGGAAGAGGGGCAGAGGGCTCGGGCTGCTGGGGGGCACGGAGGCGAGCCAGCCGACCGCCCCGGAGGGCCAGAATATCCACGCACATAGCGCCGTTCGTTTTCGGGTGAAGTCCAGGCCGCCCAAATGGGGTCCGAGTGGACGGGATCGGAGGATCGCGCTGCATCGCCGATGCATCGGCTACGCAGCTCGAGGCGGAGCCCGACTTTCTCCGCGCCGACGGTGACCGATGCACCGCCGGCGTGTATCGGCGGTGCGGCGCGATCCTCCGACTCCATTTTCTCGGACCCCATGTGGGAGGCCTCGAGGTGAAGGGCACCAAGCGGTACCTCTCCGTGGTGCCGCAGCAGGGCGGCCTCAGGAGGTGGGCTTTGAAGGGCCAGGAGCCCGGCCAGGGGCCGGGCCAGGTGAGCGTCCAGAGCATCGAGTTCGTGGTTCACCCGCACGGCTCTCTCCACAGGCATCTGTCCCTGGACGACGAGGACGCGGCTGGCGCGTCTGCGGTTGGGAAGGCAAACCCCGACGTGCAGAAGGAGCAGCTGCTGGCGGAGGTTCACATGTGCGCGAAGCCGCCGGTCCCCTCCGCGAACGTGGGTGGCCAGTTCAGGAAGGCGAGCCCGGAGTGGAACACGATCGCATGGCGCCAGGCCAAAGGGAAGAGCGGCTTCGGAGGCACGGGAGACGATTTCAATGCGGATGAATGCGATGAGAAAGGACGCTTGGGCATGCTGCTTGCCGCATGCCTGCGCTGCGCATACGTGGTGATCGAGCTCCCCCGCGAAGACACCGCAAGGGAGAAGGTCGTCAAGGATGATGATGTTCCAACCTACTTTAGCCTTGAACACCAGAAATGATTTCGAGCACCCAGACAGTACCGAAACTGTAGGGTTTAAACGTGTTGGGCGCTGGGAGGCGATGCTCGTTCGACACTTCGCTAGGGTGCCAGGCATACACTGTTTCGATAGGTTCCTGGGTGCTCGAAATGAATTCTTGGACGTGGTCCTTAAGCACGATGGGAGCAACAGAAGTCCAGGATCTCCTGGTGTCGTACCCCGCGGAGGAAGGGATCGTGGACCACGTGAGGAGCCGCCTGGCGGCCCGGCTGCTCGTGCTGGCCATGGCCGCGCAGGTCCCGTCGGGGGAGGAGGAGCAGGAGCCCGACGTCACCGGCGCCTGGCTGTCCGCGAAGCTGCTGCGCCTGTTTTCCGCCGTTCTGGCCTACGCCCCGTCCTCAGATTCCCTCGACAACTCGGCGGCGAGCGAGGGGGGGACGTGAGAAGGAGGAGGTACTCTCAGAAGGCGGCGGGACTTCTCAGAAGCCCTCGCGCATTCTGGGAAGTTGTCCGTTTCTTCGGGGAAGGCATAGAGAGCGTCTTACAAGGCCCGGGGACTTCCGAGCCTTCAGAAGGCCTTCTCCTTCTCATTTCCCTCCCTGGCTCGCCGCCGATTTTCTTGACAACAACATGGGGCAGTGCGGTGCCGAAGTCACTGGACAAATGTGGGACGAGGGCCTCAGGAGTGTCGTAGGCAGGCCTTTGGGGGGTATATATCTCCTGGAGTGCGAATGTTTGTTTTTGCAGAAGGATGCCGGCACACTCTTCGAGAGTGCAAGGCGCAATGACGGGGCAGGCGGGTGTACAACTCATTGTTATCATAATGTTGCGGCATTTGCCCAAATTTTTCGACGAGGCCAGAGACGGCCCAACGGCCCACAGGCGATTGCTACGATCGCCCGCCAGGAATTCCAGTGGCACGAGAGCCCCAGGAAGGGAGGCGTTTATCTCATGTCGAAGATCTTGTTGTTGTGCGTTTTTGACGCTGTTCTTGTTCATTGCGTTTGCAGGTCCGGGATTGGCCCGTGGCCCACCTGCCCGTTTCTTCCCGTTTCAATTGTTTTTCCGTGCGTTCGTCCCCGTGTGTATCCTCTCATTCTGCCCGATGTCTGTGGCCATTTGGGCTCAGGCGCTCGGCCGATTTGGAACAACGGTTGGGCGCAGATGCTGGCCCGTGGGCCGTGCACCCTCGACGAACACGACCTCCTCGGCTGGCGCCTCGCACTGTAAGCGGAGGAGGCTGAGTTAGGGAACTCGTGGATCGGGCCGTTGCTACAGAACCCTTCTTGGGTCGTGCCACGGTTGCCCCGAGCGGGCCATTTTGAAAGACGTTGCGCGGTGCCCCCGACTGACGGACGACCGAGGTACGGCCGAGTCCCCGCCGCCGCTGGGGGCCCGTGCGATGGCAGGGGCCCAGTTCGCAAAGAGGTGCCGCGCGGCCGCGGAAAAGAGCCGACGCGGGCTGGAAGTGCAGGAGTGGGTTCGGTTGAAGCCTCGCCTGATCGCACTGCTCGAGGAGATGGGAACACATTCCCGCGATACGGCGCAGGCCTGCATGGACCAGGAGCGGGCGAAGGACGGCATCACGGGCCGCACACGCATCAACACAGTGAGGTCGTACGCGAAAACCATGGAGACGATGCAGTGGTGGTTCTTGCGCGCGCACGGGGTCCTGTGGCCTGTGGCGATCGTGCACATCATCGATTTCCTGCACGCCAGGGCGGCGCAGCAGGTCGCCGCGAGCGTGGAGACGCTTTTCGGCGCGGGCAAGGGACCGACAACGAGGGTTGCACGCTTCCCCAGCGAGCTGGAACGGCTGGTCCTGGAACGGCTGGTCCTGGAACGGCTGGTTTTGGAGGCTGGTCCTGGACGACGGCTTCGTGCCGTACCTGCGAGGGGTGGCGTGGCTTCGTCCCGTCGATGTGCTGGCGGCGACAACTGGTGGCTCTCGCCGCAGCGCCTCGCTGTTGTGGGCGGAGGGCTGAGCGCCACGCCGGGACGCACGAGGGCCAGCGGAGCAAGGCGCAAGATGCCGGAGCTGCTGCTCGCGGACATCAGAGGGCGCTACATGCTTGGCCCAGCGTGAATCCAGACGGGCTTCGATCTGCGGCAGGAGATCGCAAATTTCGAGAGGGGCTACTTCCTGCCGAGGTGCGGCGACGCGGGTCTGGCGGCAGTCCGCGAGCCCGCCGGGCACGCCGAAACGTCGGCAGCAGGTCAGGAAGTGCTCGGGAGGATGCCGATTTCAGCGGCGCGCACAGGGAAGGAGGTCGAGTTCCTCCTCTCCGAGGATGTCGTGGAGTTCTGGACAGGGCATTCGGAGCGGGCGACGATCCGCTCGGCCACGGCGGTATTGGGGCATCGAAGAGCGATCGCGACAACCTGAGCAGGTGGTGGCTGGGGGGGGCGGACACATGCGCGAGGATACGCTGCGCATTAGTGACCAAGTTCCAGCGGCATTTCGCAGAGGTGCTGCGCTCAGGGGAGTCCTGCGCGGCTCTGGGCAAGTCGGCGGCGAACCCAGACTTGGCAAACTGGCCGGTGCCGGGGATTCTCGGCGCAGAAAGCGGCGAGCGTCGCAGCCGAGACCTGCGCGGCACTCGGGGCCTGCGCTGGCCGCGGGTTGGCGACGGCACCCCAGGACAACGAGGGCGAGCTGGGCCGGGCATCGATCTCAGAGGTAGCCGTTGAAGATGGGGAAGCGGACGGCGCAGCGCCTCCGGCGGGGGCGGCAACGCTCCCGCGAAGAACGCTGACGGCAGATCACGGAGGTGGCAGCGCTAACGAGGGCAGTTGCACGAACGCCCAGATCGGCGACGGGGAGAAAAAGCGCCCCCCCCTTCGAGAGCGAGGGCGCCGAGGAGGTTGGCAGCTATACCTCATCGCGTGCACGAGGATGCGCAAGACGGCCTGGCTCCGCAAGGTCAGGGACTGCGGCTTGGCGAACGACAAATCAACGCTGAACTCGACCTACTTCGACGATGTGCCAGACCCGAAGGACCATGATGTGGTCTGCCAGATGCCCAAGCGCCTCATCCCGGTCGAGATGGCGAAGGCGGCCGACGAGAGCAAGGGCGACGACTCGGGCCGCTCGTGGAGCTCCCCCAGTTCCGGCGGGTCGCAGGGGGCCACCCCGGAAAAAGGCCTCTGCGGCGGGGGCTCCGCATGGCCCCCCATGACAGGAGCACGGCGGCCCCCGCCCACCCTGACGGAGCAGCCGAGATGGCGCTGGCAGCGGAGGGGCCCCGCGCGACCCATCGGGGCAGGCCCCCGCCCGCCATTCAAACGCGAGCGGGTCAGAGGCCGCGCCCGCGCGCCGACGGGGTGACAGCGCCCGTGCCAAAAATGGCCCGAGGCAACCCAGACTCGGCAAAGGTGGGCCGCGCCCAGGTGAAAACCACCCGCTCGCCTGCGGGATGGCCCCGATGCCCCGTCGACCAGGGGGCGCCCCCCCGCGTCGACGACGCCCGCCCCGCCAGCGGGCCCCCGTCCGCCGCGGGCGACGGAGGCGCTGGTGGGAGGGGGCGCCATCGCGTCGGGAAGGGCCCCGTGGCAGACGGGCAGGGCTTCGGGGGGGCCGCGTCGCGCGTCGCCGTCGCCATGCCGAGCCGGGGGGAACGGCGCTCGGTCCGCGACCGATCGGCCCAAACGGCTTGGACTGAAGCCCGCGCGGTCTCTGGCGCAGTCCCGGTTGGCCCCCGGCGTCGCCCGCGCAACCGCGCGCGCGGAGCGCCTCGACAGCGCGATTCGCGCAGCGCGAGCAGGATGACGCGCTCAAGTTGCCGAGCTCGGACCTGCGCTTCCCCCCTGCGAAGGAGGGCGGTCCTCTGAGCGCGCAGGCGATGCTGCATTTCTGCGGAGTGGCGAGAATGGGGAAGTTCGGTTCGCCAACGTGGTGAACCTGGGCGACGACGTCAGGGCTCGCGCCAGGGGCGCGCTCGAACTGGGCGCGGAGGCGGGGCGAGGCCTCGAGTGAAGGTGGCCGCGCTGGCGCGCGCGCGGCAGGCGGCGGGCGCCGGGGCCAAGTGGCAGCAGAGGCCGACGCGGGCCAGGGGTCCCGCCATTGAGCGAAACCGATCACCAGGCGACGCGGGTTAACTTCGACGCGGCTTAACTCGAGAAGAGCCAGATGCCGGCAAAGTCCTATTTCGATATCAGGCAGGCAGAGAACGGGGGGACATCACGAGGCGCTCGCGGCGGTCTACTCAGCCGAGGAGGACGAGGGCCCCGACCCCCCGACCCCGGCTTGGCACAATTCAGAGGCGACGAAGGCTGCGACCGTCATGGTCGAGCCCCCGCAGGGCCCAGAAACGCCGCGGAAGCGCATGGTGCGTCTGGGCGCAGGCGTGATCACGCTCGGTCAGTTCCACGCGCGCAGGCAGGGGCTGCAGGGGGGGAATCCACGGGAGTACCAGGCGCACTTGGATTACATGCTCGGGGAGCACGTCTGGAGCCTCGTGGCAAGGGGCGCGCGGGACGACGCGGCCACGCGCCCGCCTTGGAACCGGGCCCTGCAGCGCGAGCTCGAGGTGCGCAGGGAGGCCTGGCAGCTGGCGCAGCAAGAGCGCATGCAGTTCCACGCGGCGCTTCAGAGGGCGACGAGCGATTCGGCGGTCACAGAAGGGCTCTTCGCGATCCCGCTGACCCTCGCCAGCCTGGCGGCGCGTCACTGGCCTCCGCAACCGCGGCAGCAGCCGCGGCAGTGGAGGTTCAGCCCGCCGAGTCAGGTACGCAAGGGCTGGGCGCGCAAAGGAGTCGGCCGGGCATCCGACCAGGGCGGGGGCGCCGCCTCGCAGACGCCGGGCGGCGAGAAGATCTGCTTCAGGTACAATTCCAAGACGGCCAAGTGTGACCCGAAGAGCGCCGCTTCGTTCGCGCGCGCTCGTTCTGCTTCGAGCAGGGCCACCCGCAGTGCGAGTGCGGGGAACCAGCTGGCGGGGGAGACGCGCGGGGCGAGGCCTTCCTCAGGGCTCCCCGCGGCGGCGCTCCCGATCCATGACGCCCCGAAGGGCAGGCGGCCGCTGCCGACGCTGCCGGGCAGAGGCGGCAAACGGCGTTGATGCCAGGGCGACGACGACGACGGCAGCGCAGGGCCAGGGGGGGGCGCCCCCTGCTGCCGCCGTCCGCAGAATCGGGCCCAGCGGTCCCACGTGGCCGCGCCCTCGCAGCGGAACTCCGCAGGCGGGCAGCCCGCTCTCTCCGCGGGGCGAAGCGGGCAGCCTCCGCAGGGCGGGCATCAGCGGGGCCCCGCACCCTTCGGGATGGGGGCCGCGCCGGTGCGCTGTCGGGAGGAACGAGCGGCGGCTCGCCGAGGAGGTCATCAGCGAGAGGGCGGCGCCGCACCACCGCGCGAGGTCATCCTGACGTCCGCAAGCGAAGTCCAGGAATT